CAGTAAGTGCTTTTTGTCATAAATATTTATACCACGTAAGTCTCATGTGTTTTATAAAAGATGACTGGCTTATTAGTCAAAGAGAAGTTTTTTTTTTCTTTTTCTATATAATTGGAATTCATTACATTTTATATACAAGGCTTCCTTGTAATAAGCTGAGACACTTGGCAGATTTTAATAACACAGCTTAATTAGGAAATTTTATATTAAAGCCTTTAATAATGTATTAGGCATTAACTTTCAACTTGAGGAGACAATGTTTGACAGCAGAAAAGATTAGATCAAAGACAAATTAAATTTGAGAGCAAATTCTTTAATCCTTATTACCATTTAAATTAAGTCCATTCATTGAAATTATCAAGCAATGAACATTATCTTTGTTTGGAATGATTTTGAAACAACTGAATCATATTTCTTGCTGCCGACATCTTTAAACAGTTAAAGAATATCATTGTAGAATTGAAGAGAATCTTTTACTGTCTGTCATGTTTCTTCAGGATGAAGAGAGACATGGCTTTCCACAATTTCCTTATGTTGATTTCAGCAATACTTTTGCTCCTTTCATAGTAAGATCACCCACCACCCCATGCCATATACACTGGAGTGAATCTCCCCATTCCTTTTGTATTCCATTAAGAAGAAGAAAGTTCCACTTGAACAACTTCTTCCCACATTGTGGAACAGACTCCCAAGAGGATGCTTTTACAATCATTACAATCTTAACCTCTTCAAGTCTAGCCTTAACTGTTATATTTCCTACATATACTCATAAACTCATAGTGCAACCTAATTTAGTAACCCTCAACCTTGAGTGGCTCTTGGGCCTTCTATTAACTGAACACTTCATAAAAAAAAATAAAAAAGTGTTCCTCTAAAAGTAATACCTCCTATGTATTTCCACGGATTCAGGGAGCACAATAACACTGTTGGATAGAACAAGTTTTCAGTTACAAATCACTATTTTTCCATATAGTCAGCACCAATGGCTATGTGTTTTTGTCAGGGATAAACAATCGCATACATGCAGTGATTGTAAAAGGTGACTTGTTACAGTGCTCAATTTATGACTGCTGAAACACATTACCCATTGCCTGACTGTGCTCACATCCTCTATTTGTTCTCCATAAACTTTCAGCAGATATCAGTGTCAATGGGTACAGTTTTTTTACATTAAGAATTTAATGATACACCTCTGCTGTCTATGAATAATCAATAAAATAGTCCTTGAAAAGATTAAAAAATCATAACTCATTCAGTAATCTTCTACCTTGAACGGCTCTTGGGCCTTGTATTGGGTAAACATTAGTTTTTAAAAATGAAAAGAAGTGACATTTTTTTAAATCAATCAATGTAACCTTATTTGTAGTGAAATAATTATTATTTATTTAGAAAAGTTTATCAGTGCTGGAAAAAAATTTCAGATTACATAAATAATGAAAAAAAAAACTTAAAAAAACAAATCTTTTCCATTTGTTTTATCTTGAAGCAGTATTTCTCAAATGTCAGACTAATTTGAAGATTAGATTCAAAGTTAGAAATAAAAAAGATTTTTTTCTTCTTTTTTATTCATGAATAAAATTTGTTTTTACTCAAATTAATTTCATCCTGTTAAGACATTAATTAATAATTACTTGTTTGTCTGTTTGTGAAAACTACTTTGCTTTCTGCCTTTCTTATAGAATCTGAACATTTTAATGATCATTTCTTTTGTAATTTTCCTCCTGTCTAAAATAAATTATTGTCAAAGAAATAATAAAATAAAATTCACTTTAAATTAATTAACAGGAGGATTTAATTCATCTCTGCATCTTGAAGTAAATTAAATTTGATTATTGAATTGAAATTGAAGAAATTGTGTTTCAAATGATATGAAACCTGTGAAAAGAAAGAAAATTTAATAATCTATCTTAAATGTTTCAAACTGTACTTGCCAGACAGTCTGACGACATTGAATCATTCTCTCTTGTTTCTTTTCTAACTAGCAAAACTGGTTTCTATGGATGAGTTTTCTGCATTCTATATCTGTACCGATTTCTTTTCTACTTGCATTCATTGAAGAGATTCCACAGAAAAATCTTACCATTATTTTTCACTCTCAGGGTTGTAGCAATGCAATCTGATGTACAGTTTCTGTCCTTCTAACAAAAAAGACAAGATTGATTTTGAAAAGATTTTCCCTGCCTATGAAAATTTAATGGCTAAAACTAAAGTTTTAATTTTACATCAAGCAGCAAAACTGAAGTTAAAAACTTGTTTTTAATGTTATTATATTAATCAAATGATTTCAACATTTCATATAAATTTATCTTCTTTCTCTTTTGAAACAGAAATATTGAATAACGAGTCATATCCCAAAAAGTAAGATACAAACATTTCCTCATCAAACAGGTTTATTACTATAGAAATGAGACACTGTGCGTATATTAACACCACAACAAGGCAACTTCTCCCTGTCATTGCCATTGTGATTAATGCTGGTATCAAGTGACTTGGAACCACTTTTACACTTCTGTAACAACAGCATAACCTGTGTGGAGCCATGTCCCAGATATATTTCAACCCAAAGAGATAATAACTGGTTGAGTCTGTTTTACATATATACAAGGTGTGACAGAAATACCCCCCAGATAATTGTAAGACATTAGCTTGATGAAAACACTGTTACCACTAAGGTTTTAGCATTATGGGTTGGTTATTTTTGTCACACCCTGTACAAGGGACTACTGAAAATTCCTTGGCCCATGTCACTACCCAAAATATGACTAAACATCAGAATCTGGGGTAGTCCCTTCTTGGTCAGGCCAAAAACTTACCAACATCAGGGAAAGAGAGACAAGGGAAACCAGTGCATGACATATCTGATGAACTTGAGCAAGTGGATGAACAGAACGTGGTCTAAGGAAGGAAGCAGAGGGAAGGAGCTTGTTGAGAGCTGCAAGGGATAGGAGGTGGAAAGCCATGATCACCTACATCCTGAAAGGACATGGCACATAAAAAGAAGAAAGAACCTTTAACCTCTAACGGACACTGAATGAACACATATGCATACATATATTGTTCACAGGATAAAGTTTTTATTGTTTTAGATAATACTGTTTTTTTTATTTTGAGTTTTTTTAAGATCATTTTCTGTCGTTTTAGAAATTCTACTTTATTTCTTCAATTGTTTTTTCCCCCTCTTCTCTTTATATACAAATGATCTTCCGTATATCCTTAAGGCATGAACAATTGTAGTTACAATAACAATGGCATTTTTCTTAAGTGTCGTTAAGTTATAGTTTTCTCAAACGATACTTATTTTATGATTACTGTGCAGTACTTTGCTCTTTCTGTTGCATCCTTACTCATCCCAACAATTCCTGTGGAGGGGTGGTCCCATCCAACAACATCTCTCTCTCTCTTCCTTTTGGACTAGTTTTGATTTCTCTTTTCTTTTTTTTTAATCATTTCACTCAAGCAAGGTAACAAAGCCACTAAGATACAAGTGGTTACCGAGTGTGAAAGAATATAAGAAAAAGAAAAACATTATTAATGAAAAAGAACAATAAAAGAACAGGAATTAAAAATACAGATGACAATTGATATTGCATTTAAATTATTGAAAAGCAAAATTAACTGCAAAGCAAGAAGCCGGAAAAGAGTTCCACAAGTGAGAAGTGCAAGAGAAACTTTTAGCATAGAACTTATGATTACATCTCTTGCCATTACAACTGTAAAATGATGAGACCTAGCTGCCAATCTAGTACTGTGTTTAAATTCATAAAATCTAAGTACCATAGAGGAAGTGTATCAGAACAATTACCATAAATGTGTTTGTGGGAAAGGTACAGAGAAGCTACGTTACTGTGGTGGGAATGTGACTAAAGCTGAGATGGCAGGTCAGGAATAATAACATTGCATACTCTTCTTGGGATTTTATCAAGACCTCTAAATATATAACAGGAGTGCTGAAACAATTATAAAAATATATTAGAAAAGGTTTATATATATATATCTTAACCTTCTTATGTAGCTTATAGGCCATGTTTATTTGACATGTTAAACTAAAAAACTTTTAAAATTTTTAATTTTACAATCAGATGAAAATTCATTCATGACCCTTAATTATATTCCACCCCCAAAATAACATCTAGGAATTAAGAGTATTAAATGACTTAACATTGTATAGTTTTTTCTCACCTTTGGGCGAGATGTCGCATGTGTCATCCTTCTCTCCCAACCTACTCAAAAACATAAAGAATTAAAAGGAATCCACTTTAAAATTCAACTTAATAGGATGTGCAGGTGGTGTAATGAACAATAGTTTGGAATTAGAATTCAAAGGACTGGGTTTGAATACCAGTTGGGCTCATTACATCCGCTTATATGCAAATACCCTTGAGAAAAGTCTGAATTCATCTCTTTTTTTTTTTTTTTTTCTCCTCCAGTTATGTTAAATAACATGGCAGGGTGGGGGGGATTCCTCTAGTCTAGAAGAAAGACAACTCTGAAATGAAAAACAATATTGCTATCTTAAGCAAGATTTTTATTAGACACGTCCAAAAAGTAAGATACAAACATTTCCTAATCAAACAGGTTTATTACTATAGAAATCAGACACTGCGTGTATATTAACACCACAACAAGGCAACTTCTCCCTGTCATTGCCATTGTGATTAATGCTGGTATCAAGTGACTTGGAACCACTTTTACACTTCTGTAACAACAGCATCACCTGTGTGGAGCCATGTTTCAGATAAATGAATACTAAATAGCAGCTTGGAATGTGAATTTGAGGAACTGAGTTCAAACCCTAGTTTGGTCTAGATCTCTATTAGCTTTTGACTAAAGTACTTAACTAAATACAACTGCTTGAATAAGAGTTGTTCAAGGATCTATGTAATACAACCAATGAAATGAAAATGATTAATACTTCTTGATACAAAGAATAAATATATTTCTCTATTTTCTCATTTGATTTTCAGTGTGTTTTTAGCATTTTTTTTATTTCTAATTTGCAGGATCCGTCTGAAGCAATGTTTCATGCCAAAGATATCTTACGGACAGTGATAATGATTCAAGCACCACATATGATTCGTGATCGCAAATACCACCTTCGCACTTACCGACAGTGCATGATTGGTACTGAGATGGTTGACTGGCTTATGCAATACAGTACCCTTGTACTTACTCGGATACAGGCGGTGGGGATGTGGCAAGCTTTGCTTGAAGAAGGAGTTATTGCACATGGTGAGTCCTACCAGTTTGTCTTTTTGTTTTCTTACCAAACATTTGTGAATCGTTTTGGCATTTCTTTTTGTTTTTTTCATAAAAGGCTTCAAAATGATGTGGAAAAATAATCTGAACATCTGTCTGTTGGTGCCATTTCATATTAATCCCTTTTCAAATTATGAAGCCTCAACTTAATACCTGTTATTTCAAGGTTCTCTAATCTCAAGTTAGGGACAAGAAAAGCCTGCCTTCCTTAGGTGGCATGCATGAGACATTTTTGGGCAATCATCTCTCCTTTTAATTCATGACTGACTTGGCAGAAGAGTTCACATAGTAGACTGCCATTACTTACTGTGGTAGACTGTTTGATAACCAAGGCTATAGGACTTGGTCTGTTTTGCTATTTAACCCATAAGAGGGGAGAAGAGATGGATTCATACTTTTTTCAAGATTCTCTCAAGTTATAAATATTGCATACCTTAAAACTATATTTTTATTATATATATATATATATATATATATATTTGGGAAGCAATCTGTCTTTTATACATTTCATTAAAAACAACTGACAAGGTACTGCAATTAAGTTTTTAATTTAATTTTTCTTATGTTCTTATAATTTTCTTCTTTTCTGGACATAAATTATGTAGAAATTGTTCAAGCACTTTGGCTATACTTTTAGCCATTATCAAGGATGATTTTAATTTTACTTTAATTGAATATATAGATTGATATATGTATGTATCTAGAGTTATAGGAATGTTTTATTATCCAAACACGGTCAGCACATTATATATTTAGGAATTGATTTAATTTACCTTGGAGTTTCATGCAATTTTAGCAATCTTCAGGTGCAAATATATATATTTGCAAGAACTGCATGAAACTCTGAGTAGTGTTATTGATGTTGGATATTATGTATATTCACTAATATATACTTATAGCTCTGTTTTATAACATTGAGCACTGTATTTATAACACCTAAGGTAGAAATATATTTATATATACATGTAAATACATTTTTTATCCTACCCATTCTTATATATATATATATATATATATATATATCTATAAAAGGCAGGATGTGTGTGTGTGTAATGAATGCATGGCCGCAATTTTTGACAGATTTGCACCAAAATTTACATGCACATGCTCCAAGTTAGTGGGAAGGCCAAGACTGTCTTTGCATTTCCCAACTCCCATCGATAGTGGAAATAATCAATTTTTTCATGTTTCTACGGCAGTTTTCATGTAGTTTGTGGCCATTTTGTACTGGCCAGAATGAGAGCCTTTAGCTGGCTGCCATGAATAGGCAAGAAGATTCTATTAGCCAGCGTGAGAGCCAACAGCTGACTGACATGAATGTTAACTAGCATGCTAGCATACAAAAAAAATCAATAGCTGCATTCGTCACAAGTGGGAAAAATTTAAATCTAAATGGAAAAATTTAAATGGCCGAGAGCTTGAGTGTGCTGGCCTTGTTCAAATTGTTGATCATGCTAGATAACACGCTCTTTCCCAGAAACTGTAACTAAGGTCTGCTCAACATAGTTGTAATATAAACTGCAGTGCAGGCGTCTGTAATAGGGATTGGCCAGCTGCCCTAGTAGACAGGTATCCTCAAATATGGGTGGCCAGCTATTATTATATATATATATATATATATATATATATATATATCCTTGTTACCATGAAAATTACCCTTTCAATGAAAATGGTTAATACTTGGAATAATACACATTATTGACAATTTCTACACACATTATTTTTTTACAATAACATTCATCCTGTACAAGGCCCAAGAGTCAATCAAAGTAGAGGGTTACAGAGTAATCATTAAGAGGAACAGTTTATAGAGGAAAAAACAAAAATTCTAAAAACATGAGAAGTTGAATAAAAATTCAAACATTCTTTATCTGTCATATTTAACAAAAACCTGTCTATATAATAATGTAGATGCTGTTTCTTATATCTATTTAATATTTCCTTCTAACATATGAATATGCAGTATTTTATATATATTTATTTTATACCGTACTAAATTTATTACTTAGTGTGATGACACCCGGTGACAGTCTCAATATGAATGTAGCGTAATTTCTTATTTTGAATATTTAAAGTTTTATTCTAATAACTTATCTTCATCCTGGGTAGTGTTAATTTCCATTGCTTCTTAAATGTCATATAAGATACATTTTTTTTTTCAACTTGTTTAGTCCTCTCTTGCCAGATAAACAAATTTTTTACTTTTCCAACAAAGTTTTTGTACTTTTTCTATTAGTGATTTTA